GGAGTGTCCATTTATCATGGGACGATCCTCTTCAGCTACATGAGACCAAGTTCCAGCTATGATTCAAACCATGACATGATTGTGTCGATATTTTACACCATTGTGATCCCCATGCTGAATCCTGTCATCTACAGTTTGAGAAACAAAGATGTGAAGCAAGCAATGAAGAAGTTGTTGAAAGAAATTAGACATTGACATGTGGTTTTAGAATTGAGTAAAACTAAAAGTAAATATAAGGGATGCCCTTCTAAATCTATATTGTCAGAAACTAAATAAGAAATGATCAGGAATTTTAGTTACAATTATGATCATACAACATGTAACATAGATACTGTCTCTTATATGCCAGATACACAGTCCAAGATACATATTAAATATTGTTGGACATAAGTGTTGTTGTTATTAGGTTTTGGGGTTTTTTTGGATTTAAAGTCCTTTTTTATACTCAAGGTAATGTACAGAGGGGTTAGAGTTACGTGAGTAAGGTAATAAGTACATTTCGTGTTGTTAGTTTTTGTATAACTTTTCACTTAACCTGAACACATTTCATGGTTTTGAATCCTTTACTATAAAACATTGATCTCATTGTTCACAGCATTTCTTTAGCATGAATTGTTGAGTCAATTTCCTGGTCTGAATTCTTGTGAAGCAATTCACATAACAATTTTCCCACATATATGTCCTCACATACCCTGAGATCCATCCTTGGTGTGATCATGCCAATATTAAATCAATTCTCCATTAATAGATACTCTCCTTGATATTTTCAATCATTGAAATTAATTTTATTCTTCATGAAATTACTGGCAGTAATATAAGGTTTTATATTTCATAATTATTTTTGTATACATATACATTTTGTATACATATATATTTTGGATGCATGTATATGCATATGCATACATATATGCATGACTGATATAATATTTAAGAAATTAACCAGATTTGAGAGATTTCTCTTATGCTAGATCCAATCTATAAGTACTAATCTTTTATTGCTATTATTCCTCAAATACATTCCATGGAACAATCATCTAGAATGTTAGTGAATGTACTCATCTTTCTACAATTGTCTCCTTTCATCCTTCCTCCTCTGATTTTCTACCAATTAAATCAAGGTATTAAAATTGTGAAGGAAAATTTTCCTCTCATACCATATGATTTTTCTTTTCTGTTTTCATTATATTTTTGTTTTCCTTCAAATTGTTACAACACAAATGACCATGCCTTGAGAAAGGAATGTGTAAAAGAACATTGAGGAGCATGTGAATTAGAATCTATATGAACATGACAGATATGAGAATGAGTCAGTAGACTCAAGGACCAAAATTTATATAACTTTCTGTCAATGGGAATCACAAAGTTGTGAGGTGTACCTGTTATATGATTAAAATAAGTTTTAAATTATCTGAATACTAGCAATCTATCTCTTAAATGCTCATTCTGTTAAATGATGACATTAGACTAAACACTAACCATAAATTTCTATGCTCTGTTTACATTTTTCAGTGTTGACAAGAACAGAAAGACAAGAAAAATCAAAAAAGCCTTTTCTACGTGAAATTTCCTAGGCCTTTACAAGATCAAGATGAATCAGAAAAAGATATCAGTAGACTTTAGGCATTTAGTTACTTCTTATTTCTAATCTCCTAAAATTACAATTAAGAAAAATGTGAATATCCAAAAATATGAATTCTACATGACCAGATATCCAAGAAGACAAGTCATTCTGGATTAAGGTGAAATTCTCAAAAAGAAGAAAAAGACAATATTTGTGATATTTATTTAAAGAATTTAAAGATATTTATTTAAAGATATTTATTTGAAGAATAAATTACTTGATAGCTTTAAGTAGAAGAAAAACTTTAAATTATTAATAACCCAAATTGTATTTTAATCACATAGAAATATATAGGAATATATTCAAATATAATTTGACCTTAAATTTTCAAGAACAAATGACATAAAATCATACCATGCAGTTATGTCGTATTTATTTATTTATATCAACATCAAATACAGGTACAAAGAGGCTACAACTTAATTTGTCTTTTCATCTGTACAATGCATCTGTTTTTTTTGGGGGGGTCCGGTTGTGGGGCCTGAACTCTGGGCCTGGGTGCTGTCCCTCAGCTCTTCAGCTTAAGGCTAGCACTCTACCACTTGAGCCACAACGCCGCTTCCGGCTTTTTTCTTTTTGCTTATGTGGTGCTGAGGAATCGAACCCAGGGACTCATGCATGCAAGGCAAGCACTCTACCACTGAGCCACCTTCCCAGCCCTGTACAATGCATCTTAAAGTTACCATAGTTTCAACATTTTTTTTTGTCGGTCGTGGGGCTTGAATTCTGGGCTTGGGCACTGTCCCTGTGCTCTTCAGCTCAAGGCAAACACTACTGCTTGAGCCACAGCACCACTTCCGGCTTTCTATTGCTTTATTGGAGATAAGAGTCTCATGGACTTTCCCTCCCCGCCTGGCTTTGAACAGCAATCCTCAGATCTCAGCCTCCTTAATAGCTAGAATTATAGGCATGAGCCACTGGCACCAGGCTCAAAAATAAAAATTTAAATACATAAAAATTAGAACTATAGGGCCAAGTATGTAGACTCATACTTACAACTCTACTTACCCAGGAAGCAAAGTATGAGAATGGCAAAAATTTGAGACTATCCCAGGCAAAATATTAGTGAGAAAACATGAAAAAATAAGCCAGGCATGAGGATATGTGTCTGTAATCACAAATGCACAGTAAATGTACATAGGAATATAATGTCTCTAGGCCAGTGGTTAGAAACAATAAAAGATCCCACATAAAAATTAAAAAAAAACTAGAGTAAATAAGGCTACCGGTATTGTTTAAATAGCATGATGTTTTCTTTTCTTTCTTTCTTTCTTTCTTTTTTTCTTTCTTTCTTTCTTTCTTTCTCTCTCTCTCTCTCTTTCTCTCTCTCTCTTTCTCTTTCTTTCATTCTTTCTTTCCTTTCTTTTTTATTGTGAAATCCTTTTTTTTTTCATTGTGAAAATATCATACAGAGCGGTTACAATTACATGAGCAAGATAATGAGTGTATTTCTTATAAAGCATTGTTGCCTCCTCCTTTGTTTCCCTTACCATCCCTTCCCATCTCCTCCCCAGCCCTTCTCCCCCTCCCCCCACCGCTCCCTCCCCAATCCAGCTCCAAAGTTGTAAAGTTCGTTTTTCAAAGTAATATTTTGTACATCTCATTGGTGCAATCCCTATTTAAATAATTTGTATTTTCTCTTCCCCTACACAAATTATATCATCATCAAATACAGTGAAAACAGGGTTATACCTTGAGGAAGGGACATACAAAGCAGCAAAGAAATCATCTTATAAATATGTTAGAAACAATAGCAAGGAAGAAAAAAAACATTTGAGTCCTTATCTTGGGGTTCATGTGGCCTAACATCAACTTATCTGACCATTTCTGTTTGTCTCAGACATATAATAGATATTGCGAATAAGGGAAACCATGGGACCTATGTTTCTTTAGGCCTGGCTCACTTCACCTAATATAATTTTTTCCAAGTCTCCATTTCCTAACAAATGGGGCAGTCATTCTTTCTGATGGAGGCATAGAATTCCATTGTGTATATATACTACTTTTTCTTAGACAATGCAGAGTCTTTGATTTCAAAATCCAGAACTGGTAAAACAAAAGTAACAACACCAACATAAAAAGAGAAAAAATAATTATAAAAGGAAAGGATAAAAGGAAAAAGAAAAAGAACAATAGATATTATTATGCACTAACCTTTAAATCACAGAGAAAATGAAGGATCCAACATAAGAAAATGTGGATAAAAATTATAAATTAAAGAAATTTTAGAATACTATCTATAGGATGCAACAAAACACAATAAATTAATATTTATTGCTTTACAACTTCTTTCTATAAAATATATTTAAAATCTGTGTCCAGTATTTAATTGAGGAGTTTGTTCATAAAGAATATTATATATCTAAAGGAATCAGATAAAAGTAATGAAACAAGTGCATTCTTGATGTGTCATAGACAAGAACAGGTTTTAAATGTTTAGAAGGTAATTGCCGCATGTGGATTTTTACTCTACAATATGTCAAAAGTACTTTATAGTACACTTAATTCTGCACACATAATTGAGAACACATTTATTTCACAGCTTTGGTTGACAATAGATTTTCGAATGTTAGACTGTTTTTAGTCAACTAAGAAATCTGCAGAAAAGAGTTAAGGAATTGCCAGAAATTTTGTTGCAAAATGTAATTATATATATACATATATTCACAAACATTTAAATACAAAAACATGCACACAATGTCTAATATTTACAATGTTTCTCTTTCTTAATACCCTTCAATATTTGGCAAATATTCTCCAACCTATTGTATGCTATTTTCCTATAATGAATACTAACTCAACAGTTTACTTTGTTCTACATGAAAATTTGGGAACTGATGATGTTTAACCTTTTCAGGTATTTTTATGTTTGTGTGTTCAATAACTTGGCAATTATTTCTATTATCCAAATACATGTGTCACAGTAACATTATGTCCTAACACAAACACTATACTACATAACTTGAGGAGAGTGATGGTTGGGAAAAAGATGGAGGAGAAGGATGGAAGGAGTAATGTTGATCAAGATGAATTTTACTTAAAACCTGACTTATGGAATCATAACCTCGTTCTACAAGTACATAATATTATTTAAGAATTGTAATATGACAGTAGGCATGTCATCATATTTTGAACATTAGTTTTGCTTAAAAGAAAATCATATATAGAGATCATATATTTAACACATTTCATGATATACAATGATAGTATGAACTTCTAAAGCATACTCTCAGAATTGCTGAGAGTATGCACAAGAAAAAAAAATTCTGGACAAAAATTAATTCTGGACAAATATAAAGGAAGTATTTTTAGAGAGAGACAGGAAATCTTCTTACCCTCCAAAAAATACAAAGGCAAGTTTAAATGTTTAGCATGACTGTTACTTTAATCTCCTGAAACTCTCTTTCTTCTGCATAACCCGAATGAAAGCATTTTTCACTTCTTTGTTTCTCAGACTGTAAATGAGTGGGTTCAGCATGGGAATCACAATAGTATAAAACACAGAAGCCACTTGATCCTTTCCCAGGGAGTAAGACTTCTTGGGTTTTAAATAAGTAAAGATCATACTGCCATAAAAAACAGTGACCCCCAGCAGATGGGAGGCACAGGTGGAAAAGGCTTTCTGCTTTCCTGAAGTGGAAGTGATTTTCAGAATAGTCGACAGAATGAACACATAAGACATACCTATTATGATAAGTGAGACTATGAATGTGGTACCAGCAAGAAACATTATCATCATCTCAACATCGTAGGTATCATTGCAGGACAGGACTAAAATAGGGGATGTATCACAGAAAAAGTGATGGATTATGTTGGATTTGCAGAAATGTAGTCTGCTAATGCAAAGGTTGTTGACAATGGAATCCATAAAGCCAACCATGTAGGACCCAGTGAGCAGGACTCGGCAGAGTCTTGGTGACATAATCACTGGGTAGTGCAAAGGGTTGCAGATAGCAATGTAGCGATCATATGCCATGGAGGAAAGGAGAAAACATTCTGTAGCAACAAGCAGAACGAAAAAGAACATCTGTGTGAAGCAGCCCACGAAGGAAATGCTCTTGGAGGAAGTCAGCAAGTTCGCTAACGTTTTAGGAGTGATGACATTTGAATAACATAGGTCAAGGAAAGAAAGGTGAGTGAGAAAAAAATACATAGGTGTGTGAAGCTGGTGATCCAGCCAAATGATCAATATCATACCCAGGTTCCCCAGCACAGTAGTCAGGTAGATGAGGAGAAAGAGCAGAGAGAGGACCAGCTGGATCCCTCCAGAATCTGTCAATCCCACAAGGATGAAGTAGGGCACATTTGTGTTATTCCAGATTCTCATAGTGTACCGCTGTAAACTATTGAGAAATGAGAGGTGACCACATAAATAAGTTCAAGAAGTTTTGTTCTATGGACATTTTTAGTAATTTTTTCTCAAAATTGGTAATAAATTTAATCTTTGACTCACCTATCAATGACTAAGCATATACACTTGAATATGGAACATAAGTAGTAACATATTTCCTAATGAGACACATTTTGAAATTGTTCCAAACACTACCTTTCATGAAGAAGATATTCAATCTACCTAAGTGTTAAATCGTTGCTGCTTTATGTTTCCAATATCCTAGATGTGGAAAATCAAGCAAAACTTCAAATATCTTATCTGAACTAATTTTTTACGGATGTTGATTCTAGACTTCAATATTTGAAATGAAACAGCACGATCATACCAGTATATTTCAATTGATAATTATTTCTGTAAATCTGAACAGAACATTACTCAGAGTAAGCAAGGAGAGAAGACAACTTCTATGTACCACATACTGTTCATTTGTTTGCAATGTTGGTTACATTAAATCCCAAATTTTCACTTTATGGCATTATACTAGTGCACATTTATATCATAGCACTCATAAAGGTTAATTTCTAGCTCACATCATATACTACAAAGTCCATCATTTAAAATACTATTTAGTCCAAAAATCATATTTTAACAATCAAACAGTTTTATTTCCAGCAATGCTGACATCACTTGGCATAAGGCCCAAGTCATATATCCTCAAAAAATGTTTTCAAAAAGTGACTGTTATCTGCTCTGATTTTAGTTTTTATAAGAACACTTACTGTGAGCCAAAGATGGTGAAATCAAGAACTCATCAAAGATCATCCATATTATTGGTTAATCCTCAATTCGCTTCTCAAAAACTATAAAATGAATGAAAAGAGTTGAAATGGGTGTAATGTAGCAGTATTTGTTTTATCATGTATACAAATTTTTTTGTATTATGAATTTACTTTTTCTTTTCCTCTGTGTTAAATTAAATCACTCTAGAAACTTTGTTCTTGTTAATTTAATCAAAAGTACTCTGGGAGTCTCTGCCTCATAAGAGTCCCAAACAAGTACTTTGGTTTTCTATAGAGCAGTGGTTACAGCTTCTCCTAGGTAGCTTCTCTTAGCTCCAGGGCACCTCATTTATAGGGCATGGCATATTGGGCAACATTGTGTCATTCTCAGGACCAATTTCCAGAAAAAATTTACTTGGCATGAGTTCAAGGACAGAAGTTTAAAGACAATGTGTGAAGTGTTGCTTTTTCTATCTGGTTACAAAATAAGAACATCACCAAATCCTATAGAATTAAATATACATATTTTAAATTATTAAATATATATTGCTTAAAGTAGCATTCCTAATAATTAGAAAAATTTAACATATATATTGACATTGTGATTTTCGCTATAAAGTAAAATTGTAAAATTTTAACATGAGAAATTGCATATTGAAACAAAAGATTTTGTCATGTACCAAGCATGTTTATTTTAACTATGGACTACAACAAAATTAAGAGAAATCAATGAGAGTCATTTTAAATTATAATTGCAATTTCATCAATCATTTCACCCTGGGCAAAAAGTATTTATTTGGATATAATATGTATCCATGAAGAATTGCATAATTACTATTTTGCTGTATATTTAATATCCTATGTTCATTTCACAGTGAGAAATAGGTAATATGAAATAACTTGTGTCATATTAACAGTTGGTGAACACCACACCTCACTTGGTGATCCCTCACTCCATCAGTACACATTGTGCTCCCCACCTTCAGCCACCACACTAATCATTCAACTTCACAGGACTGGTGGCCCTCTCCTTTCTGCACTGTTTTTTTTTTTTTCTGTCCAGCATCTGTATGTACTACCTGTGCAGTATGGCTTACTTTGTAAATGGACCTGATTGGTTTTTTTTTGGTCTGGTCGTGGGGCCTGAGCTCTGGTCCTGGGCGCTGTCCCTCAGCTCTTCAGCTCAAGGCTAGTGCTCTACCACTTGAGCCACAGCACCACTTCTGGCTTTTTGCTTCTTGTTTATGTGGTGCTGAGGAATCGAACCCAGGGCCTCATGCATGCAAGGCAAGCACTCTACCACTGAGCCACTTTCCCAGCCCAGACTTGATTGTTTTTGAAAGAACACTTTGTAAGGTAATGATAAATCAGTCCTGACAAACTTGTCAATAATATATTGGAAAGAACATGATCTAGCTGGATATATTTAAACAAGTGAATATTTCCTAAAAAGAGTGAAAAGAATTAAAATGGTGATTATGAAGTGGAAATAATTTATTGAATTTTCTTTGTTTTCCAGTATGAGGAAACAAAGGGAAAATCTGAAAAGTCATGAAGTGAGAGTCAGACTAAAAACTTCTTGTCTGAACTCATCATAAAACCATTTCCTATTGGTATGAAAATTAGTTTTTGAAGAAAAAATGTGCTTATATTCAAGATTTTCAAAATACTGCCTACTGAAATAAATATAGAAGCATAACTTTAGGTAATCTATAGTTGATGAATTTTTACAAGGCCATTGCTTTGTAATCAAAATTTTAGTTGTTTTAAGACAGGAAAAATTGTAGTTTCAAATCCAGGGTCAAACTATGATCTTAAGAACAATTAGCGAAATATGTGATTTTCTAAGTCATTGTTTCCTTGGTGAAGTAAAGTTTGGTGAAGGAAATCACCTTGAACAAAGTTGCTGTATGTAGTTTTTTTTCCAAATGTGAAGTGGACATTGATCATGTGTGTGTGTGAAACTGACAGCAATTTCTGTTAACTTAACTATTGGGAATCAAAGACATGCATGGCTATAATCCCAAAGCTGTTTAGTGGGTACTTGTCTAGACTTCTGAATTAATCTACAACACTCAATGAATCACAATTATTGGTTTGCTCTACTTGTTGGAGCAGAATAAAATCTTTAATAGGAATGTTTATATATTTATTAATTAAATAGGTATTCAAATTTTTGATGAATCACATTTTTACTTTCTTATTTAAAAAAGAAAACCAAACATGTATTATATATCATTATGTACCATTTTTATCAGTACATCAGTTATAGAGAAACCATGTTGATTTTAAAATATGAAGCTGGGTGCCAGTGGCTCATGCCTGTAATCCTAACTATTCAGGAGACTGAGATCTGAGGATTGTGGTTCAAAGCCAGCCTGGGCAAAAAACTCCATGAGACTCTTATCTCCAAAAAACCACTAGAAAACTAGAAGTGGTGCTGTGGCTAAAGTGGTAGAGTGCTAGCCTTGAGCTGAAAAGCTGACCAACAGCTTCCAGGCCCAGAATTCAAGCCCCACAACTGACAAAAATAAAATGAAATGAAATATGGGTCATATAAATTCTACTGTGATAAAAGTAAGCTTACTGGGATTATTTCTGTATGATAATTTCAACTCCTTGGAAATATGTCCAATTGCGTTATAGAGGTTTGTAAAGTAAGTGAATGAAGAAGAGGAAATAGAGTCAAAATATTATTATGTATGTTTAAAAATATAAGAATGAAACATGTTGAATATATTAAGATAGAAGAAAAGATGATTATGATTGACAGATTGAGTTAGATTAATACAGATGACTTTGGTCAAGGTGGCTTGCATTCTTCTACAGTAACATAAAAATAATTCCTTTTATCCAACCAATATGTGCTAATTTAAAAAAAAATCACCTCTATAGGCCATAATCACTGAAAGTCCAGTATTTTGAGTGAAAGCTGGGGGGACTTTTTCCTATGTAAATTTTGATGTGATAATGTAGAGAATCACACAGGTGTGGACTCACACATATTTAAGACAGGGCTAGGGAGAAAGTTCACAATGCACCTATCCTGGCATGTGCGGTCCAGAGAACTCTCTCTAGTACAGGCAGGATGTCTGTAAACAGGCACAGAATTCTTCACACACAATACCAGTCAAAGGGTCACCTGACCCCACGCTGGCCTTCCTCAACATCCTGTGCAGAGTGGAGCTGATCTTAAAGGAAGTCACAAGTTGTCTGGAAATGATAAGTGCTTCTTTCCTCAGCTGGTACATGGAAAAGACTGTATGTCCTGGGACATTTCCTTCTAACTCACTATTTCCCCTGTCATTTTCTTTGATTATGGTTCCAAATAAATTTCTCTTTCACACAAAATTGTTACCAATGAAACAGATGGTCTTGAAAAAGTGACAAAAGCATTTTGCTGCTTAACATCCTCCTTGCAGAAACAGGCTTCGTACGTTGATGTTTGAACAGTAGGTAATTGTACAAGTTAAACCAATGCTGGGAAACATGTCATCAGTGACTATCTCTGTGTGGTCACCTTCTACAGTAACCATTGTTTAAATGTTCTGAAGGGATAAAGCTCTGTGCTACCTTCGGGGTAGAAATGGAAGACCTTGTGTGTTACTTTCACAAACTGATGTTTCCTAATGTCAATTTTCATAAGGGACTGTAGGAATCAATGCTATCCACTTCCTTTATTCTATCTAGAAGTATGCAACAAAGAGCAGCAAGTTCTATTAACCCAACTCTTGGGAATCAGAGACATTCATGGCTGTACTCCCAGAGTCATTTAGTGGATATTTGTCTAGCTTGCTGATTTATTCCACAATACACAATAAATCACAATCTGTTGATTTGCTTTACTTGTTGGAGCAGAATAAAATCTCTAATAGAATGTTTAAATATTTATAATTATTAATTACATGGGTATTCACATTTTTGATGAATCACATTTTTGCTTTCTTATTTTTTTAAATAAAAGAAAACCAAAGGATACCATGATATATCTACTCTGGATGAAACCAGACGTGATATTCCAGGAAAAAGTATTTCAAATACCTGATAGTATGAGACTTTATTTGAGTAGACCAGCAATTTTTACTTATATAAATATTGTCCTCAAACATCAGTCTTCTTAAAATCATAACTCTATTTACTGTTTATGAACAACCGTTCTATTGACAGTTGTCTGTAGCTGTTAGTTGAACAGGTCTGTAGTTTTGAAAGGAAGGT